GCCCCACAGCTCCCGTCCTGCCCCACAGCCCTCCCTCTGCCCCACAGCCCCCCCTCTGCCCCACAGCTCCCGTCCTGCCCCACAGCTCCCGCCGGCGGGCGGAGGGAGCAGCTCCCGCCGGCGGGAGGTGGAAGCAGCCCCCGAGAGGGACCTTCCCCCACAGAGCCAGGATCCTTCAGGTGAGGGCAGGAAATAATAGGTTTTGACTGACTTTTAAAAAGTTTTTTCTTTCCTGCGTTGTCTAACAGAACCGGACTGTGGAGAAGGGATAACCGGCACTCACACAGCTCCCCTGGCATGAGGTGGACCGACAGCCTCCAAAAGCCTGGACGTGGGGGAACACCTCTCTGTTGGAGGTCAGGTCTCAAACTCTGCTTCACTGTTATAACTTTTTATATCTGACAGGAGCGTTTCACAGGGAGCCAGCAGGTGTGAGCTCTGACAGATGGGGAAAAGAGCGGGAATCTTGCAGTGAGCAAGAGCCGTGGCCTGAGGAGGGTGACTCTGCAGTGTCCCCTCTCCCAGGGACCTCAGCAGCCCCCCGACGCCCATCGCTGTGCGGGGTGAGGCCTCGCTCCACGCTCAGGAGCCTCTTTGTTCGTCTGTCAGGAAAGGATGCTGACAGCACCGTGCCCACCGCTTTCGGGGGGGCTCTGAGGAGGGCTGGGGGTGTTTATGACAACCATTTGCTGGGCACGCTGCACCAGCAATAAAAAACCTGTGTGACACTGGGTATTGTTCTTAGTGGGCCATTTGGAGGACTCTCACCCCCTATGATCTTTTTAAGACGTTGCTCGCAGTGTATTCAGAGTTGCAGGGGCAAAGGCACAAGAGCTAAACCGTTTAATTCTTGTCCTTATTTTAATCACACAAGAACTGGATCCTCTGCTTGGAAAAACTCACGTGTGCGCTGCTGCTGTGGCTGAAGGATGGGACAGTGCTCCTCAGAGGCAGCCTGGGCTGTTCTTATAGAACGGAGAAAAGTGCTTTTTCTCCCCCTGACCTCCCAGTCAGTTCCTCCGCTCGTTCTGCAGGGCGATTTGTTTCTATGCCTGTTACCGGTTTTTCAATAGACAGGCCTCCCACGGAGACAAGATCTGCAACCTCTCAAGCCTGGCACAGATGGAAAGCACAGCTTTGAACTCAGATGTGCTTTTTTGAGGGGGGAGGGTCTGATGCTGTGTTGGTTTTTTCTTTTTTTTTTTTTTTTTTTTAACAGATAAGCCCTGGAGGATAAGGAAAACAGCAATAACAAACAATTAGAGGAGTTGAGTCTCATTAAATCAGTTGTCACTGCAATCTCAAATCCCGCACCACTCGGTTACTCTCTGAGTGTTGCTGAGTGTTCCCTGGGTTTGTATTCTGACCAAGATCTATAGTAAGAATTGTCATGTGCAACAAACGTGAAAAGGTACCAGAGGCCTGAATTCAAAGATTTTTAGATACCCCTCTCCATAGTTTCTTCCGAAATGATCTGTTAGACCACCTCATGGCCACAAATACAAGGAAAGAGACTTCAAAAATTTAGTTCAAACTAAGAGAAGGCTAAGGAAGCAATAAAGCAGCAGTATTGCCACCTTTTAAAAATCCTGCACAAGCCACCACCTAATGGAAAGGATACAAGAATTTGCTGCAATTTAGAAAAAATCTCTAGGGCTTTTCTGAATTTCATCAAGGGTAAAAATTAGGGCTATGAGGCAAGACTGTGAGGGAAGAAACTTAGTTCATATTCGCCCACACATCACCTCTGCTTGCTAGAAATGTAGCATGCAGTTTCCTGGGACTTTTCTCTCGGCTTTACAGTGGATTTTTGTGATAAATCCTCCTATGACTCATTTACAAAACAGAAGTGCTAAGTCCAGGTAGCATTATATTTAATTAATACAGAAAAAAACCCATCATAACTGTACATTATTCCCAGTTTGGAAAAGCTCTTTCTACTTACCAGCTGTAGGAACAGCTCTAATCACTCACGGGTGGTGGATTATTGCTGAGACTGTATTCATAGTCTGGGGTTAAAACTCAACGTTGAGTTTTGCTTGGGAGGATGCTACAGCTGATCCCAAATCCCTGACCATCTGTATGACTTTTGTGTCCAAGTACCACAGCATTGGTACAGCCCTTCACTGTATAATGCCTAACACCAGATGCCTTACTTTTTTTTTTTTTTTTTTTTTTAAACAGGCACAGATACCTGGTTTCCAGCTCCGGTCGAGGTCTGCCTCCGCCCACAGAGCTGCTCCCCCTCTCCCCCACACTGGTTTCCAGCTGCAGGTACTTCATGGCTCGCTGCTCACCGTGCTTTGCAAAAACCAGCCTCACCCCTGAGAGGACCCAGGAACAAAAGTAATAAAAAAGCTCTAACATCTATTCTTACTCGAGGAAAAACTGTTTTTAGGATCTCAGGATTCACAATTTTGCCCTGTAGTCAACAGAGGAAATGATGGCATAGCAACTAATCATTAGACAAGCAAAGCTCAGCTATTAAGATTTTTTTGTACCACACTTTTCTCCCCAGTATTTCACTGGCAAGGAATCACACAGAAAGAAATAAAATCTGCACAACAATTCACTTTAAATAAATATTGGGACTGTGGAAGGTTAAACAAAGGTCAAGTGCTTGCTGTATAAAATGTAACAATGAACATAAGAAATTCAATCTTTATTCTGAGAATATTTACAAAATAAATAATAACACACTCTCATATACTTAACACATTTCAAAAATAAGAATTTAAGTTCTTGGCACAGTAAGGTCCATCTTTTCAAATTTCCTGTTAAAGTTTCATTTTCATCTAATGTAGGTATTTATAGAACCATCAGGAAAAACAGCACAGGTTTTTCCTCTTCAGGTGAAAATTCTAGAAGTTTGGATCACTGACATATTAGTTTATATTTGTTGATATACCAAGTGACTTTTTTTTTTCCCCCAATAAACTTTAGTTGTTCTGACCTTATCAGCTTCTTAAGATCAGCCATAACAAATTACCTTTTGTATCGGTAACAATGCAAGCCATTATTCAAGATGAAAGACTTTTAAAACACAAATTACACTCAAAAGTAGTATAAGAATATAATTCTAACAAAACTCGTGTGTGTAAATGTACCACGAGCTTTGTAAAGACCTGAAATGGAGCTTCCGAACCAACATGGGCTACACAGTAATGACATGTGACAGAGAAGCACTAAAGGCCGTCCACTGTGAGCTAACACCCTGCACCTCTTAAAAACCAGACTGTCGGCTGCTTTCACTAGTTGGTTAACACAGCTGTGTGGGTATTCAGCAGGGGGAAAACTGGACAACTAATTTAGGACATTTTTGTGGAAAAGTTTGGCTTCAAAACATTTTAATTCATGGCCTGCACGCTGCTGCTCAATTTCACTCCCGTACCAGTGATAATACAGCATTAAGTAACTACAGGTTCTCTGTTCAAGACGGGGACCCTCATGGCACTTTTTTATCCTAAACCTCTACTTTATATAAAGCACACAACATCCGTAACTGGCATTCCTCCAAACAAATCTCCCATTTTACCCTTACATGGAGTTTCTTAACCAGTTCACAAACTGTTTCAGCGTCTGCACAAATTTATTGTTGCTTATCTGATCTCTAATTCTTTCAGAGTAGCTTTCTTCTTTCCATATTCCTTTACTTTTCTTCAAGGCCCTCAGCTCTGCTCCAAGCAGCCTTTTGTGAAGTTTCCAGTACATTCGGGAATCATGGTGTAGTCCTTCTATCCGTGCTGCTCTGCCCAGCCCTTGTCTCAAGATCTCTTCATTTAAGCACACGCTGAGAAATCGACCCTACAGAAAGGCACAATACATACAATATTCACTTCACCTTTATAACAGTTTTATTTATTTTTTTGTGCGAACTCCCTCTGAGATACAAATAAACTTCTGGCTAAATCTGCGCTCTGGCAGAAGGAGTTAGAAGTTAAGAGGAATGCAGCCGACTGTTAAAACCTGACGCTAATGCAAGACTTTTGTGAGAGAACACTCGATGGACTAAACATCAGGGTGACCAGAACGGCATGATACAGCCTAGCACCATCTGCCAGAGAAATACACTTGTGCCATGGATCAGTCTGCAAAAATACCAGTCTCGAAATCAGATTTACAGATACAACATTTAAAATTAATATCTAGATAAACTATAAATAACAACATTCCTTAAACGTACTGAGATAGCTGAATGGTGTAACTACAGTCAAACTCAAAACTGCAGATAAAAGTCAATTTTTGTCACAAAAGTCAATTTTTGTCACTGTATTTACCTTATTGACTAAAACAAGGCACTCGAGTGCCAAGTCGTCCCTTCCGAGAAGCTGGAACCACACCATCTGTTGGGGTTTCAACTCCCGCTGCAGCCAGGCCATGCCGCTCGGAGCCAGCTCCACCCCAGCGAGCCGCACCAGCAGCAGGCCTTGCGGCTGCCCTGATGAGAGGGAGAGAACTTTGTTACCCAGTGCAGCAGAGGAAGTTTTCTGCTTTGCACAGACCCTCAGCTGTTGGTAGTTAATTTATTCCCATGGATTAAAAAAAAAAAAATTAAAAATAACCCATTTTAGTTCCCCAAAGCACTACTGATTTGCAAATACGAATTTGGTCTCATCTCTCCTTCAGTAAAAAAATTAATTGCATAAATGGCTGAAGCTACTTTGCTTCGTTCTGCATACAAATAGAACTGCTTTCATTATCAGTCACTATTGTTTTATCTGAAGGGGCAGTAGCAACAGGCAAGAAGCATCAGCACCTGCAGCGATGTGCAAAGCACGTGTGTGACTCACAGACTTGAGGGACAACTTCTGCAGAGTCACAGAAAAGCTGTCCACCAGAAAGGGTTTTGCGGGTGTAGCTGTCAGGTCTTCACCCACAAATAAAAGCGCAATCCAAACAGTCTTCCTGCCAGGAATGGGCTGAGCTATGCAAGCAAAGGAACTGCCTGCGTGCGAGCTTTTGCTGCCAGAAAAATATCATGATAATGATGTCAACCGTCTTTCTTACTCCCAGGTTTCCCACCTGTAAAGCACAGGGAGGCCAACAGGCAGAGCCGCAGCTGTAACCGAACCTCTTAGCCTCGCCGCTGCCTCTCCTCTGCGCAGTTAAGAACAACATCATGTCACCCCTGCCCTTGCTCTTCACCTCCTTTTACTCACATTTTCTCTGGATCGCTGTGATGAAGGGAATGCTGATGGGAATGTGTTCAACTTCCAGACCTTTCTCAGTCACGTGATGTAATTTTCCCCGCAACTTCACGTTCTTCTGTACAAACTCCACAGGTATATCCAGAGCGCCTGTGAACTTTGTTGTCTATTGATGGCAAGAAGAGCAAGACAAAGTTTAAAAAAAAGTGTAGAGCGGTTACAATCACATTAAATCCAACTTCTTTGAATAGTTTGGCAAATTAGAGATCTATTACTAGCGTGGGCAAGGGGATATATATATTTTTGAACAGTAATCGGCTGCAGAAGCCGCTATGTGCCAGCCTTTCCCGACACTTCTGATGTTCCGTTTCACAGGACTTGCAACATCAGGGGCGGGCAGGAAAGCAAGGTTTACAGAAAGAACAGAAACTGATGTTTTTTGAGCAATGCATATTGATGTTCACTTGATTCACTGCGAAAAGAGTGTGTTACAGGTGTCCTGAACGGTGCTGGAGCAGGGGTGGAAGGAAGCCACGGCATGTCTGGAGACACCAGCCAAGAACAGACAGGCTGAAAACAAAGGCAGAGCGGGGAGGACAGGAACAACCCGGACTGTGATAAAGGAGCAGGAGAGGAGAGGGACAAAGGCAGGTGTACACCTCTGAAAAGATCACGAGGAGATTAAATGTGATACCACAGCCACCGATTAACGGGAGGATTCAAAGGGACAGTTACGTGCTCACACGGGAAAACTCAGCTGAGTGGCAGCAAGGGCTTGGCCAGCAGCAGCAGCGCAGGAATGGAGCGGCCGCTGGTTTGGGGGGCGGAGGGAGAAAGAGAGGCATCGGGGATGGCGAAACACCCTGAATTTAAGATTCTAACACGTGGAGGTCTCGCTGTAAGAAGCTTTTTGTAGAACACTGACCTACACAACTGTGAGAAGTACCAATCTGCTCACGTACCACTGCTGTGACACATCAGCCCTTGGGGGAAATAAAAAACCCAAAACACCATGACTGAGCTCAAAGACCTTGTGCTGTGTGTTATTTATTCGGTAAACCTTCCCATACGTGGGCGCAAGGGCTCCCAGCAGGA